CCATGCAGACCCCTGGCTCTTAAGTTCACCCCAAACTTTTGGAAGCATATCTTAGTGAGTCCTTTTTGTCATCTTTCAGTTTTAAGCGGACACATGGCTTGACCTTCCCAGTGTTGGGCCTACTGACTTTTTAAAATGTGTCTTACACTGTATTGCTGGGACCAGCTCCTCTCGCCTGGGTGTTAAGGCATCCTTCCCTGGTGCACCAGGGTAGGACTGGTCCTGCTGACGCCAGATGGGTTATGGTCAGTGGAGGAGTGAGCTGGGCACTGGGCTGTGCTTGCACACCTGGTCTCAGACTGCTAAATTTTAGTCAGCTGAGTGCCATCCAGGGAGTAAATATCCTTTTACAAGCACTGTAAATATGAGCTTTTAATATCTCTCTAAGAATGCAGAATGTATGTGACTGTGTAAAAGGTCTACATGCTATTATTTATATTTTGAGCTTAACTTTAATATAATGTTAGTCATATTTGCTAAGGTGATTATAATCTTTGGCTTTGTCTGACGCCAAGACCGTGATGCTTTAACAATAATATTACTCAGACTCTGCCTGTGATTGTTCTGGTGAAGTTAATTCCCACATAGAAACATTTATGATGGCATACTATAATCTTTGCTACAGATTATTTAGGTGTAACCAGTTCATCTTGGGGAAAAAAAAGTATTGCATCTGTAACTGAAATTAATCCGCATGTAAATCAGCCTTAAGTCTCTTCAGATTTTGAAGCCAGATTCTGCAATATGGTTTGCAGAAGGGAGGAGCACATAGGACTGGCCTTAGTTGTGTTCCTCAATAAACAGTCACATGCAATCAGAGTAGACAAAAGCGCCTTCAAAGTGATGGAAAAAGAATAGATTAGTTTGGTAGAAGCTAGGGTTTAACCAAAATTGTTAAAAACCCCCACCACTGCTTACTTATTAAGTTTATTTCACTGTACATTCTCGCTTTCCTATGAATTCTTCCTTCTGAAGCTCTTCTTCAGCACAATGCAAACATGCTTTCTATCCTACCAAAAAAGTGCAGCTGTTTGCTTTTTCAGTCATACAATTAGTGACTGAGAAAGACTCAGCAGCATATTTTTTAAGCAGTTGTTCTTTCATTTGTGTTTTGTTCCACTGAATTTTAACTCTGTTCCTTTAAACACAATTATGAGTAAATTTAAAGTATATTGACAGTTAGTCCCGGTTAGTTTCCTTCTATAACCTGCAACCAGAATTGGACAGGGGATATTTTTTTTTTCAAAATAGTAGAAAGTGATTTCAAATGTTCTTTCTCCTAGATACGCTACCTGAGAGCCTAACCAGAATTGGACAGGGGATATTTTTTTTTCAAAATAGTAGAAAGAGGACTTCAAATGTTCTTTCTCCTAGATATGCTACCAATCTAAATTACTGTGTATGTCCTAAATAGGGAAAAAAGCAGAAAGCGTCAGTGTTTCAGATTGTCAATCACCAAACAGTAGAAGGTCTGCAAAGTGTACATAATTTACTCATCAGAAGACAAAGTAAAGAGAGATTGTATACATTAGAGTTCAAAATCACTGCAACAATGAGATGTATTTAGCTCAATGAGTTTGCGAAAGTAAGGAATTAGTAAAAAGAAATACTTCCTATAAATGTTTACCATGACACAAAGATATGATAAAAGAAAAAAGCAAACCTCTGCATCTCCAATAAACTCTGAACTCTCATTTCCCAGTTGGTTAACACATCTTTTCCTACAAGAGATTATGTCCTAAATAGGGAAAAAAGCAGAAAGCATCAGTGTTTTAGATTGTCAATCACCAAACAGTAGAAGGCCTGCAAAGTGTGCATAATTTACTCATCAGAAGAGAAAGTAAAGACAGATTGTATACATTAGAGTTCAAAATCGCTGCAACAATGAGATGTATTTAGCACAATGAGTTTGTGAAAGTAAGGAATTAGTAAGAAGAAATACTTCCTGTAAATGCTTGCCATGACATAAAGATATGATAAAGAAAAAAGCAAACCTCTGCATCTCCAGTAAACTCTGAACTCCATTTTCCCAGTTGGTTAACACATTTTTTCCTACAAGAGAGTTTTCAAAAAGCAGTGGTCAGGAGTAATACAGAAGTTACTCCATTCTGAAATGCGTGTAGTCATTCTAGGAGTATATGGCTCCTGAAAGAAAAGTTTTCATACTTTTTAGTTCAGTGACCTATGGCTATCATGCATTTTGCACCAAGGAATGGAAAATCCTGCATATATATATCTATATATAGGGAAGGGATGCCATCCAGAGGGACCTGGACAGGCTTAAGATGTGGGCCCATGCAAACCTCATGAAATTCAGCCAAGGAGTAATACAGAAGTTACTCCATTCTGAAATGTGTGTAATCATTCTAGGAGTATATGGCTCCTGAAAGAAAAGTTTTCATACTTTTTAGTTCAGCAAGCTATGGGTATCATGCATTTTGCACCAAGGAATGGAAAATCCTGCATATATATATCTATATATAGGGAAGGGATGCCATCCAGAGGGACCTGTACAGGCTTAAGATGTGGGCCTGTGCAAACCTCATGAAGTTCAGCCAAGTGCAAAGTCATGGCAATCCCAGGCACAAATACAGCTTGGGTGAAGAATGGCTAGAAAGCAGCCCTGCGGAGAAGGACTTGGGAGTACTGGTGGATGAGAAGCTCAACATGAGCTGGCAGTGTGCGCTGGCAGCCCAGAAAGCCAACCACATCCTGGGCTGCATCAAGAGAAGCGTGGCCAGCAGGGCAAGGGAGGTGATTCTACCCCTCTACTCTGCTAAGACCCCACCTGGAGTACTGTGTCCAGCTCTGGGGTCCTCAAGCCAGAAAGGACATGGACCTGTTGGAACGGATCCAGCGGAGGGCCACCAAGATGATGAGAGGGCTGGAGCACCTCTCCTATGAAGATAGGCTGAGAGACTTGGGGCTGTTTAGCCTGGAGAAGAGAAGGCTCTGGGGAGACCTTATAGCAGCCTTCCACTACCTGAAGGGGGCCTACAGGAAAGGTGGGGAGGGACTCTTTATCAGGGAGTGGCGCGATAGGAGTGGTTTTAAACCGAAAGAGGGGAGATATAGTCCAGCTCTGGGGTCCTCAATACAGAAAGGACATGGACCTGTTGGAACGGATCCAGCAGAGGGCCACCAAGATGATCAAAGGGCTGGAGCACCTCTCCTATGAAGATAGGCTGAGAGAGTTGGGGCTGTTTAGCCTGGAGAAGAGAAGGCTCTGGGGAGACCTTATAGAGGCCTTCCAGTACCTGAAGGGCGCCTACAGGAAAGGTGGGGAGGAACTCTTTATCAGGAAGTGGCGTGATAGGAGTGGTTTTAAGCCGAAAGAGGGGAGATATAGATTAGATATCAGGAAGAAATTCTTTCCTGTGAGGGTGGTGAGGCACTGGAACAGGTTCCCCAGAGAAGCTGTCGATGCCCCATCTCTGGAAGTGTTCAAGGCCAGGCCGGACGGGGCTTTGAGCAACCTGGTCTAGTGGGAGGTGTCCCTGCCCACGTCAGGGGGGTTGGAACTCGATGATCCTTAAGGTCCCTTCCAACTCAAACCATTCTGTGATTCTGTTCTATGATTTTGTATAACTCCATCTTTTTTTTTTATAGAAATGTCTGTGCAGAATTTGCCTGCAACCATGCAGAGGATAAGCCGAAAGAGGGGAGATATAGATTAGATATCAGGAAGAAATTCTTTCCTGTGAGGGTGGTGAGGCACTGGAACAGGTTCCCCAGAGAAGCTGTCGATGCCCCATCTCTGGAAGTGTTCAAGGCCAGGCCGGACGGGGCTTTGAGCAACCTGGTCTAGTGGGAGGTGTCCCTGCCCATGGCAGGGGGGTTGGAACTCGATGATCTTTAAGGTCCCTTCCAACTCAAACCATTCTGTGATTCTACTCTATGATTTTATATATCTCCATCTTTGTTTTTATAGAAATGTCTGTGCGGCCTGCAACCATGCAGAGGGCCAGCTAAGCAGTTCCGCATCCCCATTAAGCGCTCCGCTATTGCTTCACAACATACACACGCACACATTGTAGTCACTGCGTGTGGGTACACAAATTCATGTCTGCGGTGGGAGAGAGATGTGAGGCTCTGGGTGTTTGGCTGCTTTATAAATAATGAAGGAGAACATCTGTCCACTGGTAAATGTGGGAGAAGTGAAATTGATATCATAGCTCTGCCAACCTTTGCAAGCACACCAGAGCCTCAGGGACTGCGCTTGAAATTATTCTCTCTGGGTAAAGAAATACTTTCTCCTTTTCCTAAAATTTTTGTAATTTTATATCACGTCTAGCCAAGACTGAGGTTTTGTTTGGTGTTGATTGACTTAATTTGGAGGAAGATGCAGTTCTTCCTCTGGGAAGCTGTTGCAAAAGATCTCTTACCATGCCTTTTCTCACCTGGGGAACTTTGCTAGAAAGGTGCAAATAGCCTTCTCCATGCTAAACTATGAGCTAAGGAAAAACTGTTCAGAACAGCCAAGGACATGTCAACAAACTGATTTTTCTGCTGAAAATCAGAGAGAAAACTGAAAAGACTGAGAAATATTTGTTACAGTTGAGAAAGGGAGGAACAGTTATAGAATTATGTACCTACTTTGGTCTTTGTATGGAAAGGGTCATTTTGTTTTTACCATTTGTTTTCTTCTGTGCTTTCAGAAAGACAACCATTGTCAGAGGAAACAACAGTAGCTGCCCATTTATAGAAGTGTTGCCCTTTTGCTTTGAAGGAAGTGACCATGCTGAAGCGTCTTTTTAGGACATCTATTCTGAGCCTCAGAAAAGACCATCTAACATGATCCTGGGTTTAAATAACAAAGATGAATTTGAGGTGATTGTTTGCTTGGTTTTGCTGCCCTGGAGTTAGCTGCAGAGTTGACCACTGGAAAGGCACGGTGCCGGAAAACAGTCCTGTGCTGCAATACAGCGTTTCGCATCTGCGTAAACGTTCAAGAGATATCTCAGCTGAGTGAAGATCGGAAGAATCCTGAGATGATTTGACCTGTAATGGAGGAACGTTTCTGGGAAACTGCTGGAGGACTTCAGCACAGGGCACCTGGTGTCTCTGACCTCACCTATCCGTGTGAAAGTCCAAAATGAACCACACTTGGCCATACAACCTGAGCTTTGGTGCACCTACAGATCCTGTTGAGGCAAGGCCTGGACTGTCACGAAATGGGCACACAATAGTGGCTGTTTTTCTTGGATTTATTTTGTTTTTTGGTTTCTTGAACAACTTGATTGTCCTCATCCTCTTCTGCAAGTTTAAAACCCTCCGTAACCCAGTCAATATGCTCCTCCTGAACATCAGTATCAGTGACATGTTAGTGTGCATCTCAGGCACTACCCTCAGTTTTGCATCTAACATCCATGGCAAATGGATTGGAGGGGAGCATGGTTGTAGGTGGTATGGCTTTGTCAATTCCTGCTTTGGTAAGAGTTCAATGATAATTCTCTTATCCTATTCTTTTTAACACGGGTACGTGAAGCAACTTGATGAGCTAGCTGATTGCTGCTTAGTGGTAAATAGGAAGACACTTTGATCGCCTTGTTATGGTGAAACACAAGTGAAATGCATGGTTTAAAACACTTTATGAAAGAGTAGCACAGATCTGATAAATATATCCTGACGTAGACTGTTTTTAGGAAGTAGTTGTTTTTAAGAGCTAAAAATGACACCTAGAAAATCACTGAAAGGAGTTTGACTAAGTATATGTATATATATAATACTTCCCTCTTTTGCCAGCACTGACCTATAGGCCCCTCAGTGCTGCTTCTGTCATGAACAAAGCCTCCTGAAAGTATTCCATTTACCATTTGTAATTATCTATCATCCACCATTTGTAATTATCTATCAATCTATAATATGAATTCCCTCATGTCCCAGATAATGACAGTTTTCATCATTACACGCTTTCTGTTCTCCCCTAAAGCAAAATCTTTATTTTAAAATTACATGCTTGCAGATTCAATAACAAATTAAGTCATAGGAATAGATTGGTCGGAAACAGTCAGAAATGTGCATCAAAGCCACAGTAAAATAGTGTTCAGCGTTCTTCTCCTGTTCAGACAAAACTTTTCCTGCAACCAGCTTTTGCACTGCTAGATTTAAGTGTTATAACTAAAAAATTATTTTAATTATTAAAAAAAGATAAAAGAAAAGGCAGAGTCAGGGGACTTCATCCCTTCAAGGTGCCCTGTCACTTTGAGAATTGCATCACCAAGGAATGACCCTTTCTGCATTTATTCCTACATTCAAAAAAAGGTCCACTAAACCATAAAGTGGCCTGCAGGTGCACATCTAAATGTGTGATCCCTATCTTTACCCACAATGAGGCATCTGATACAGCTCCCTCTTGCTTTGCTGACCTTTGTAGGTCCTTGCTTTGCTGCCTCCAGGCCACCAGGATAGGATCAAGCACATCCCTGTCTCTTCTTCCACCCTAGAGTTGCGGTGCGTCTCGAGCAGGCACTTTGGCATGTAAGGTGCTCCCACAACCCTTGATATAGAGCCAGGCTGTGGAGCTAAACCCACGTTTTCTACTTGTATTATGAGCTCTCGCTCTTTCCAATGATGTGGACTCTGGTACCTTTCCCTGCCTCAAAGGCGTGCTCCCCTACTGACAGCTACCTCAGCCTGGCAGCAGCCAGGCCCTGGGAAACTGCTGCTTTGCCCAAAGTGAGCTCTCAGGAGTTACCAGTGTTGTATAATATAAAAGCACTGGCTTTGGCCATCCAAGAATAGGTCCCTTTACCAACAATGCCTTGGCTTGTTATGGCGGTGTGTTTTGGTTTGGTCTGTGCAGAGCAGAACAACGTCTTTTTCTTCCATGTTTCCTTTCCATTTTGGTGAATTTTATGAATTCCAGTATTTCAGTAACTAGTCTCCTCAGGGAGGAAAATTTTAGGACTATTTTTTCTCCACCATTTGATGTAGCCTCTTTTTTATTATTTAGGGGTGGGAGAATAACATTTGAAGGGAGAGTAACAGAGTTATTTGTTTGAAGGATTAGAAAAAAAGTATGTTGAAGGTGCCCTTTGAGCCTACTGGCTTCTGTTAGGATATCTGTGTGTTACCACCCTGGGAACTATGGAATTAAACCAGCAAATGGGTAAGTTTTTCCTGGGGTGACTTGCTTATTGAATAATTCTTCTAAGTCAGATCTAAATCGGATGGCAGGAGTGAAGATTTCTGTGCTATTATGATATCTGTGTTCATGTGAGAGTTTCTGGGATAATTCTTCAAATCGATTAGATCATCAAGGAACAAGCCAGCAAACAAAAGCACAAAACCCAGAATGCCAAAGGTGATCTCAGCTCCTCTGAGTGGTGGTGGTGTTGTCAGCAGGGTGTCCTGGGTGGCTGAGACAGCCTAAATGCAAGTTGTTATTGACCTGAAGGCATGGAAACTTCTCATAACAGTGTTAAAAAAGTTATTTTTCAATTATTTTCTCAAGGTCTTGCAGTGCTCACAGTGTTTTTTCTTTCACTAGTGTGCATAAAGGGCATGCTGAAGAAGTTTGCTTACAGATTCATAATTAAAAAATGTTACCTCAAAAATAACATAAGTAAAAGAAAATAATCGTAAATAGTAGCATGTTGCCTAACATTTATCTCTATCGACAGGTTATATCTGTCCATAAATACCATTATTCAGCAGCTTTTTTGAATCTTTTTTTTATCCAAAGTGTGCTTAAAAAAGAGCTACTGTAGGTGTGCAGTGTGGTGATGGCTTTTCCAGGTCTTATAACACTCGAAAACAAAATGCTTATATATAGAACTATTTAAATTTTTTTGCATTCAGCAAGCAACTGTTCACTCTGTGCTGTAAGCATCAGAGTGAACATGAATCCATTGAGTGGAATGGTTAATTTTTTTTTATGGCAATTGGGAAGTGACGTGAGCTTTTTATTGAGACTTGCAGGTACTATAGCTAAAAGAAAAAAACAAATAGCACCTCATTCATTGTAGGATTATTTTTCTTGTCTTCTGTGGACTTTGGAAAAATTGTGTAAAACTTATCAAAGTGATTCAGAAACTCAAGAGGCAGAAAATAAATATATTCTGTATCATAAGGTGGCGGCTTAAGACCTTGCTGTTTGATGGAGTGTAGTTATTGAGAGTAAGGAAGCTTCTTATCAGCAAGAGGATTTTTGACACCTAAGTAGTCCAGGCCTTTGGTCTGATCACTGTGACTACCTTGTGAGTCGCAAAGCTGATTAGATTTATAAACATAAATGCAAATCCACAAAGACTACAAAATATTGTATGAGGCTATGGTATAAAAGGAGCGTGTAAGAACACAGAAATGACATAACTATATAGACTGGGAGGAGAACATTGGGTTGTTTACACTTTCTTGCAATCCCTTAGCTATTCTTAAAAAAAGCAGAAAATATCTTCTATTAGCTAAAAATTAGCTTACTCTCCCTTGTGCCTCATGTCTCATTTTGGCTTTTCAAGGCTAAGAGGAATGGTCCTAATGCTTGGGGTCCAGAACAGAGATGTGTAGTAGGAAAGGTAACTGAGAAGAAATGAAGTTGAACATCAAGCTTTGTAAGACACTTCAATATTCTTATCTGTTCCTTTTTTTTCTCATGGGATAGATCCTATCCTAGCAGGATAAACACCAGTATAGGGTCAGAATTTTGGATGCTGTCACAGTCACTGGCTTCAGTAGAATTGCACTCTCTTGTACCAAAAGAAAGTATATACCTGTTTGTTTTTTTTTTATTTTATTTTAACTGCAGTATTTTCCTAATTAATGAAGAAATTTTAAGTGGACAACTAATCTTCATGAATTGGTGAGTATTTGGTGATGTGTAAAACACACCTAAGCCAACTTCAAACTGTTAAAATATTTTTAAATGCAATTCATTCTTAAAAGGCTTCAGAGAAGGACTGTATTTTAGTGGCTATTTTCCCCCTCCCACTTCGTTTTGTGATGCTATGAAAGCCTCCTTCTCCCTGTTTAAAACTAAGTAGAGACTGAAGGTATTATCCCCCCGGTCTGTGGCCTGGATGAAATCTGAGCCAGTGCAAGTAGGAAGCTGAGATTTGTTTCAAATGTAAATGGATGATGAGAGATCACTCTTTTGTTTTCTCTAAAATGTTTTACTTTTTTTTTTTTAAATCACATAACTGCTGCCCTGGGAGGTGATCTGGAAAGCAGATCTGACTCTCCTCCCAGCAAAATCGACAGTGTAACGTACATTGACGTCGCTTACTATGGAACTGAACTGGAAGTTCTTTACTGGGCAATCCATTGCCTACCCCAGGCACTTAAAAACCATGAGCCAAGAACCAGGACCAGGGGGTTGCTGTGGGTACAATGGAAAAAAATATGGACAAAGTGTAGGTGTCTTGTTTATTTACTTGCTGCTTTCCACACATCTGCTTTGTGATTTCAAACCACTTACTGAAAGCAGAAGGTTTAGAAGCTGATGGGAAGTGCAGCTTCTGATCAATAAGCACGTAATGCGGATTTTAAAGGGAACATTAAATGTCATGAAATCTGCCATGGAAGCGTAAGAGCTGTTGGGTCTTAATCTGGGGGAACGTTAGGGATGGAGCTAGAGGAGGAACAGCATGGTCTGTTACCATTATAGATGATTTTGCCCTGGTGCTTATGCATGTTTGCAGCTCCGTCAACTAGGTCACTGCAGTGGAAACTGCACATGTCGCTGAGTTGGAGAAATGGGTGGATTTGCTAAATTTGCTCCCATTACCCACCACTTAGCCATGGCTTGACAAGCTCATGGTTATACATTTAAGCAAACATAGAAAGGGACACAGGGACAGGACACATTTTCCCAGCTGAACTCTGAGTAAACTTTCCAAGCAAGCTGAAATAAGAACTGTTAAATATATAATGAAATGATTAAGCATTAGATTTTAATTTAGGAAAAATACATTATTTAGTAACACACTCCCATAGAGACCATACACAAAGTGATACGCAGTCCTAAAATGAAGACTGTCATGCAGCTTTGACCATCTCGCACGTAATCTCTCCAGTGCCCTATTAAACTCTTCAAATCTCTGGACAGATGAAAACTTTCAGAAACATTTGCTCTTTTCCCAAGCTAATTGCACTAATGTAGGCTTCCCAAAGATGTAGTGCAGGCAAAATTCGGGCTCGAATGACTTCTGGAGTTCATTTTCAGAATCTCTACTTTATGCCATGCCATATCAGGATTAAATATTAAATAGATTAATTCACATGGGAAAGATGAAGCTTTTTCTGGCTCAGGAAGCCCAACACTAGATTCTGATGCTGGAAATGTTTCAGGGCACATCACTAGCAAGGATATTTTTTTGACTGTTGAACTCTTAGCTCATGTCTTCAAGTGTCTCCTGGTTGCTTTTTCTTCCTTCATGGTAATTAAAATACCTGGCAGTTTGCCTGAGAAGTTGATTCCGATATCCCATTT